GCATACTTTTTGCAAAGACTTGTTCAAGAACCCAATATAGCAGCCATCATTATCATCAATGGCTAAATGTCTGTGTGTTTAATTGGCCAGGCAAATAACATTCTTCTCATGGACAGTCATCTTCATGGCAACTAATTTTTGGAGCATTGGTTGGTAAGACCACCCTGCAAGATTTAGATGGATTTTTCATAAATGCAAAACAATATATAAGCAATATATAAACAATATATAACATGTGTACAGTAACTTTTCTTAAGAAATAATCATATCCATANTGGCAACTAATTTATGGAGCATTGGTTGGTATAAGACCACCCTGCAAGATTTAGATGGATTTTTGATAAATGCAAAACAATATATAAGCAATATATAAACAATATATAACATGTGTACAGTAACTTTTCTTAAGAAATAATCATATCCATACAAAATCCATCGATATTGATATTACATAATAATGATAATAATAATAATAACCTTATTAACGTGTCTTTCTTTCTAGCTTACAATTAAGAAACTAATTGGAGACACCTATCTAACCCTAATAAAAACCCTTAAAATCCATAGTTAATTGTTAGTTATTTCCTATTTACATTCCCACCCCAACACCATCTATTCCACCCCCTCCCCCCCTCCCACTCTACCCTCTCCCCTCCAATATCCCTAGTGCAACTGGTATGTTATACATGAATTATATGTGTAGATAATAAAATGATAGCTGTGTACCACAGGTTTGCACCCAAGCCAAATCAGACGCCCCACGTCTATCCAGACACTGAAACTACTATCAGGACATCTGAGTTCGCGGGTATGGAAAACTGCAGCACACTGCATTACCCATAAAAATTAAATTATTCAATAGAACAAGTAGAGACATGAATTAATTTAGACACAAAAAGCAGTCTTTACACTCCTGAGCAGAGATAGTCATGGCCAAGTCCAACTTCCTTTCTTGATCTCTAATTTTATTAATTGATTCAGCCATTTTGAGCGATTTATCAAGCTTTGACCAAATGAAAGGACCTATATATACCTTATACTGTGCTTCCCATATGTTATAGTATTAAATCTTGGTATTGAGAAGTCATCTGAATTTCTAATCTTATACCTACACCATAGAAAAGGTTTGCTAAAGTTTTGATATTCTACAGTTTTAGTAAAGTTCTTGTTTGTAATTGTAAATTTATTGCTTCGTGGAGTGCTTAATTAAGAATACTTTCTATGGATAAGTGCTGGCTCTGCAGCCTTTAAAAGTCAAGTAAACAATCATATGTATTTGACTTCAATTTAAAAATGTTTGACAAGCATTTTCATTGACTGACGCTTCTTAGCACATAAAGGCTTAAGATAGTATATCATGTCGCAGCGGTACATATCTGCACTGTAGTACAATCGATCAATCCTGTAAAATAATTAAAGCATGATCAACTCACCTTCGGCAATCTTATCTAAGATCATTTTCCTTCGGATTTTCTGGTTTCCTTCAAAAAATCAATAGGAATATCCTCTGCTGTGGACATTTTGTGTAATTCACTTATCTTCCACGACATAAGAGGGAAGAAAATCACAAAACAACGTATGCAACAGGGCTGCAATCCGAAAAGATCGAAGAAAACAGTTTATCATCCAGAAAAACATGTAAGATTATCCGCCATTTTGATTCTAGACCTTCAAGCATGCGCAGACGTTTGACCGCGGTGTTGTATCTGCCCGCGGTCGCGGTCCGGTATCCTTGGCCGCTAAACAACAAAACAAATATTGCAATTTGTTGTTTTTACTGGCAATATTTATTCACTTATTTTCTCTACAAAACACGCTGTTTTATAGTCACGTTTATCTCAGTAAGATGTCTGATGACGAGCATAGTGATAGCGAATTCTATTATCCTTTGGACTAC